CTGACTCTGTTTGCCCCACCCTGGAGATCCCCTGAGGCTCCAGTCCCACCCATCTTACAGCTGTTAACAGTAGCTTTTCCACGGGAATGGCTGGTCTTGGCTCATGCTTCACAACTTCCTAAATCCTTTCAAACAAGAAACAGCTGGCCTCACCATACCTCTTGCTAAGTGGCCCCAGGCCCAACACTGGCAGCAGCCAGCCTAGGTTCACAGCTTGGCTTTGCCTGGGAGTCTCCAAGCCCAGCACAGGTAGCAGCCATCGCAGACTAGGGTTTCCCCTAGGTGGGCTCACTTCTCAGCCCCGTTGGGAAGAGGAAATCTGCTTTTCTGAAAATAGATGGGAGGGGGTGTGAGGGAATGGGTGAAGAGGTGAGGGGATTAAGAAGTACAAATAGGTAGGTACAGAATAGCCATGGGGATATAAAGTACAGTATAAGGAATGGAGCAGCCAAAGAACTTATATGCATGACCCACAGACATGAACAGTGGTGGGGGGATTGCCTGAGGGAGTGGGGGGGGGCTGGGTGGAGGGAGGTGAAGGGAGAAAAATTGGGACAGCCATAATAGCATAATCAATAAAATACAACAGATTTTAAAATTCCAACATTCACTCTTTCATAATGGCTTTCCTGGCGGCAGCATCCGGGCCAGAATGTCTGTGGGCAGCAGCTGAGTGGGGCGGGGGTGTTTGCCACTGTGGGTATGTCAGGGCCTTGGAGAGAGAGGCTGTGGTCCTCACTTTGCAGGCGCCCCTCCGATGAGGCTGATTCCATCTTCGTTGTGGTTACAGCGTTAGCATATCTTGCAGGGGAAAAATCCTCTCAGCCTTTCTGGGATATCCGAGACACACTTCCAGCACCATTTTAAAAGTGGGCGTAAAATAATTTTTCATAACAAAACAAGTCATCTGATAACACAAGGGAAGGATTAGTGAGAGATGTCCCTGAAATTCCAACTGCCTTTCATGGATGCAGTCTCCCATCTTTGTGTAGATAGAGATTATGGTTGCCAAGGAAACAGGACCAGAGAGAGAACCACAGGAACTTTGTCTCCTTTGGTCTCCCCCAGTCCCACAAAGCAAGACAGCCGTAAGCAGAGCTGGATGAGATTATAGTAGATTTATAATTTACTTAGTCAAATTGCTTTTAATTCATAGTCAGGCCTCGCTGTAGATGTTTTTTCCTGTGAAAGTTAGATCTTTCCCGTAGTTTTCCAATGTCTGTCCAATAACAGAGCTGTAGCATTCATTGTCTGTGATTAAAACTCCATGCAGGACAGATGGCTTGTCTGAGTGCGTGTGAGACAGCAAGGCACTTAAGATTTGTGACAGGCCAGAGCGGGAATTAGCTGCTAGGTTTTCGCATTTGTCCGTACACTCATGTGCGCCGTGAACGCGGCTGTGAAAGTTATTTAAGTGTTCTCGCGTTATTCAAAATATTCCCAAACACAGCGACTGCTCTCCTTTTGGCAGACCAGATGCCCTAATCTCAACCCCATTAACTCAAAATCCATTTTCCTCATACTATACTTACTGGGTATGTTTCATTTACTCTGACATTCGAGATGTGAACAGCGTCCTTCGGAAAACCCAGCTTACCCAGAGCCCGCAATGTTGGTCTCCATTTCGTTTTTATGAAACTTTCTAGGGGAAATAATTACTTTATTCAACAAACATTTGTCTGTGGAAATAAACAAGACCAGACAAATGAGAACATGCAAAGGCCATTTGCTCAGAGGGAGCTGTAGCAAGGGTGTCTGTCAGCCACTGCCGCTTGTGCTTTGGCAGAGGAATGGGACTGTTTCGCAGTGGAGAAGAGGGACAGCCCTGACTGGAGGCTGGTGGCAGGGAAGCTGGGCTCCTATGTGATGGCTCCGGGTAAGTATCTGGCTTTCTCAGCTTGGTCCTCAGTTGGAAGCAGGTACAAGTTAGGGAGGGTATCAGTCCTGGCCGTTCTGTGCCAGTTGTTACTGGGGGCATTGTTCGACTTGCAGGACCAGTGCAGACCACTTGCAAGAAACAGTGGTCTGACTTCCTGCAGGTTTGATCTGTAGACTGCAGGCTGGCTTCCTGGGCTAGTTTCTGTAGAGAACAGGTTGTTTTCCTGGGCTGGTTTCCACACATTGTGGGTGAGATTTCTAGTTTTATTACAGTCTGGCCATCATCCGTTTGCATATTCAGTCTCTTAGTCAATAATCATTAAATGTACAAAAAAGTACACAAAGCGTAAGTGTATGTATGGTTCATTGGATGACTCTGTGTAACTGCCACTTGGGGGAACCCGTTTATTTTTAAATGCTGCACCATCTTTTTCTTCAGAAGCCTGTGGTCAAGGAACATCTCGAGTCGCTATAGTTTCTCTCCATGTGCTTCTTTAGTCCTCATGTCCAGGGGTGGGACTTACCAGCTACCGGCCTCCTCGAACCTTCTCATGAAGCCACATCTGCCCAGACACCATGGACAGGCCGGCAGGGTTTCCCACAGTCAGCTTCAGCCCCGGGAATCACCTTCCTCACAACCCTGGACCAAGAGGAGCTCCCGAGGAGCCTTCGGGGCTCGCAGGCCCGGAAGTCCAGGTCCGCCACTACTCTGGGCAGTGATCATCTCTGATCATCTCTGTTTCTTCATCTACAGAACGGGAGTGGCAACCGTGTCTGCTCTCCCACGGCCGCTGTGAAGATGAAGCGGAGGGAGGGGCACACCATCCCGAGCACAGACAGGCAATCGGATTTGTATTTACCGGCTGTTTAAAAATGACAGCTGAAGATGATTGAAAACCTACTATGTGCCAGTACTGAGCTCAGTGCTTCCCCTTACATTTATGTTAAATCTTTCTATTAGAGACCATCGATCATCCTTGTTTTATAGATAAAGGAGCGGAGGCTCCTAGATGCTGAGACCTCTCTATACTTGCCTCGATTTGCTGTGAGAATTAAATGAGATGATTGTGGAGTGTGTCCTGGGCGTGGTCCCGAGCGCTCAGGCTCCAGGGCTGTTGTTGCGAACGACCCCTCGCTTACCCACCGTGACAGACCCCGCGCCCATCCCACATCTGCTCGTTCTCCCTACTGGGCTTACAAGATCAGTTTCGTGTGATGTGGCCCCGCGCTCCACTTTCCTGCCTCCCTCACTTCTTTGGGAGTTCATGTGGCTTAGTCCTGGCCAGTGAGAGGTTATGTCTCCTAAGTGGGCCTTTTGGGAAAAGTGTCGCAGTCCTGAAGGATGGGCTTCCCCTGGCACATGCCTGTCCCTTTTGTCTGCCCACTGCCTTGCTGCATGGGAAGCACAAGTGCACCACAAAGCCTGAGACCAGGGGCCCCGTCCAGGATGGCAAAGCGGAAAGAAGAGCCCAGATCCCCGGTGGCCTTGGAGGAGTCCCATCTCAGCCCTGGATGGCCAGCCTCCAAACGGTTCAACCGCTGTGGAGAAGCCACCAAGGCCGGTGTTCTACTCCATGCAGCCGAACGAAGGCCATCCAAACGGATACGGCCGCTGTGTGGGTGAGGTCCTCCTTTCGTCTGCATGCTGCAACTGAGATGACGGAGAAAAAGACTGCCAGAAAATGGAGTTGGTTCCCAACTGTCCCTACATGACTCACCCCTTCCGAGAGCTAACACCGACGCTCTTCCTCACATCCCGTCGCACTCTCCCTTCTTCCCTGCCACGTGGTGTCATATATGGTGTCACCAACAGGCTTTCCGTGGGTCATCAGCACCACACACTTGGGATCTGAGGACACTCGTTCCCAAGGCTTGGCTCGAGACCAGCCTCGCCCAGCATGGGACTGAGCGATCCTCCTGTGAAGCCTCAGGCATCTGCTCTGGCATCTTGGTCAACGTCCAAACGCTGTAATTGCACTCTGCCTACTTGTGAGCTCTCTGAGTTCTAATTAGGTGGCATTTACTTTCTATCCAAAAAAGATTATGCCCAACATTACCCTGCACATTAGAACGGCAGGGGTCTAACCCGAGATGGTAAAGGAGCATCTCCTTGTGACAGGAAGAGATCAGGAGGTGGGCACGAGAGGCTGCATCTGGCTTAGCCTGCGCCAGGTGGGCTGTCAGCTTGCAACTGGGAAGAAGTGAAGTGAAGCAGGGGTGTTCACCTTGTGGTTCCCTGTGCTGTTCCAGGGAAACAGGACGCCCATAGTTCCACTTACTTTAAACGACTTCCAAGGCAGCATCAGATGAAAAGGGGATTGAACTCTAGTCCCTACTCATAGCTTCTGTCAAAATATAACCCACAGGGAAGACAAAGAGTAAATTCCTGCTCATATAAGGTATGTTGGTTTTTGTTTTTTTTAACTAAAGCTCATGTACTTTATTTGTAGAAAAAACATGCAGGCCCTCACACTGAGCAAATATTCCATTTAATTTATTGAAGTAACACTGGCTGATAGGGCCATGTAGGTTGCAGGTGTCCATTTCTGTGATACACAATCTGTGTATTGCACGGTGTGGCCACCACCCAAACTCAAAGCATCTTCCATTGTCATGTATTTGGCCCCCTCTTCTACCCCCATCCCCAAACGCTGTCTTAATATTGCGTGGTACGTGACTTTTTATATTCTAAACCACAAGTAACCCATCTTTTGCCTTGCTTAAAGACATATCCTGCCCCGGCTGGTGTAGCTCAGTGGATTGAGCATGGGCCTGAGAACCAGAGTATCATGGTTCAATTCCCAGTCAGGGCACATGGCTGGGTTGCAGGCCAGTTCCCATCGGGGGTCACGCGAGAGGCAACCGTACATTGATGTTTCTCTCCCTGTCTCCTTCCTTTCCCCTCTAAAGATAAATAGATAAAATCTTTTTTAAAAATCCTAAAAGATAAATTTTTAAATTACTTAATGTGTAAAATTGCTTCACTAGAAGTATGTAACTCAATAGTGAAATAAAAGACACTCAGAAAATATTTGAAATAATCCTCCTTTTGATTAAACTAGAAAAGGTGCACACTTTCAATGGCTAAAATCACGTGTCTTTAACTAAAGATCCACACACAATGAAGAGAAAATCTCTAATAATTTATTTGACCTTCAGTTTCACATTGTGAAAAAAAAGTAACAGTTTTACCAAACCTCAAAAATGTAGTAGTAGGAAACGAGTACATAAGAACATTAACACTTTACTTCTTCAGCTTACACAGTTTTGTACGTGAACCACATACTCAATAGCCAAGAGAAGGATATTATTCAGCTCTAACCACCCTCATTCAGACAGGTGTCAGGCCCAGAGAAAAGGGGCTGCACAATTACAGCAGAAGTGCAAGGCTGCCCTTTGTTATCTGTTTCCACAGCAACCCGTCCACAGAAAAAGAAGAACCTTCTCTGTCTTATGCCAAGGTTTTTGTATGCGCTGTGCTGTGAATTGTATTTGCTTCAAAGTGCGGGACGTTTCACAGGGTGAGAATGGTCAAGTAGTGAGCCCAAAGGCGTCTGTCAATTCAAAGAGCGGGAGTCCAGAAAGTTCCCTGCAGGCTGGGGGCCCGCCCTGACCATGGCTCCCTCTGGCTTGCACACAGTAAATAATAGAGGATTCAGGGACAGACCATGACTCTGAAACAGCTGTAGAAAATTCATCCCGCTTTCAGAAGCCATGCAGTGACACACACAGCTCAGCCTATTTGCATCATAAACTACAGAGCTGTAACTGCTACAATATAACGACACCCGGCCACGCCGCCATTGTACACTTAGACATTTGCATTGCTCAGAACACATCTAGGAGTGAAAGACTGACTGCTGGAAAGTATTGTGGTTCTTTTATTCCAAGGGCTCATTTATTTTGGTCCAACTCTAGCTCACTTATTCACGGCACGGACAGACATGCACAATTAGTCTCTAGTTCTCAGGTGGGAAGAAATGCCAGGGGTTTATCTGTCAATGCAAACACACAATGTAAAAGGTGGGTCGCAGTCTCACACCTAGTTTTCTAAGCGCAGTAACATGAGCATCATCAAGGAAAGCAGTGCGAGAGCAGAACCTCTGGTCTTCCCAGACGCCTTTGAGGAAGCTCCAGTATGAGTCTAGTATTAACACCTATCACAGCACAAGTTTAGTAAACAAGCCCGCAGACTAGCAAAGAATGTATTCACAACCAATTCCCAACTGTCCCGGAAACCCGCAACAGCGGCCACTGCTTACAATTCTTTGGTGTGTTGTGGCCCAATGTGTCACTTTTGCGCACCCAAGAGTTCTTACGGAGACTTACCTACAGCTGAGCGCTGAGGTGTACATTGTTCCAACGTTAATGTTGCCATGGAGAACTTGTCACACTCGCTAAGTTGTACAACAAGGAGTTCAACAGGTCCAGGTCAAATCGGGTGAGTGAATTAATTTACGTCTGTGATAGTTCACTTTTTTCCCCTGTTAACTGTGGTTATGGCCAACCATTCTCACAGGGTAAATAAATAAATAAATAAACAACAAACTTTGGGCTATGTCTTTACCTGTGTCCTATATACAGAACTATTCCATAGAATCTTCCAGGATTTCAGGATAATACACAAAGAAAAAAACTGCAAAGCAATTTGGTCCTTTCCAAATTTCAGTAGCCGAGACAAAGGAGGTGAATGAGATGGGAAGGGACAGAAAGCAGCCCCACCCGACCCCGTGAGCCATCAGCATGACAGGAGCCCCGGAAACCCCATTAAGTCGGAAACCCCATTAAGTCGGTGAGTCTAAGAACCGTGCTTTCTCTCCCTCTAGGGCGTAACGCGAGTTTCTGTTTTGTAACCCTTCCCTGTCCTGACATTTACAAAACCCCACCCCTTCCCAACCCACCCTCCAGTTACATTCCACACTGTAACTCCAAAGTTTTCAATTTGTGCAGCAAAGCACATCACAACAGCCACAAAACTGTGCAAAACATACCACCATTCACGCACGTCCATACACATGAAGACAACTGTGAGCACTGTTTCAGCATGCAGGCGGCAAATAATAAATAGCTACATCTACCACAAATTTCTTAACAGCCAAGGAAAAGTTTGAAGTCACTTATAAATAGAAAAGATCATCTACCAAACAGCTACCAACAATGTCCCCGTTGTTCGGAAACCTCCCTGGGGGCGCCACCCCTCAGAGATCAGGGGAGTCCACGGTCCAGGCTCTGCGGCCAGCACGGCCAGCGTCCCTCCTGGCCCCACGGTCGGGCTTTCAATCTCCAACAGCAGCTGGTGTGGAGGCTTCAGCTTGCTCCTCAGAGAGAGGTGACAACCATTTCAAATTTTACACATAAATGGTGGAGCCCATGGAAATCAAACGCTGAATGTGCTACAGCAAGGGAAAAGGCGCGGCCTCTCTCTCCCTTTGAGGGGCTGATTAACGCTGACATTAATCCACAATTACAAGACAAGGACTAGATCACGGGTTCATTCATTCATATTTAAACCAGGGGCTACTGCACTGAAAACCCCACCCCTCCCCCACCCCGTCCTTCATGTCCAGTCGGAGCTTTTCCAAGGTGCAGCCGAGGGCACAAGCCAAGTCGTGCAGCAACGCCGTTTCTTGTTTTCTTTCTCGTCATGAAATCTGGCCTCTCCAAGATAGAAATCGCTTCTTGAGCTAAAACAGAGGGACAAGATTTTTGTTAGTAGTCTCAAAATCTTAAAAAATTAACAATAATAAACTCAGGACAGAACCGGTCAATATTGCTTCTGAGGGTCTCAGTCACATGTTCAGGAGGAAGTGTGCGGACCTGGGAAGCACGCACACACACATGCACACACACATGGCTGCAGCCTGGCCGAATCCATGGGCTCCCAAGTGGGGTCTTTTCTCCTTTTCCAAACACACACGTTCTTACTCAAACTGGTGTGTATCTAGGTGCTGTTGTGAGTTGCCATCTTCTGCTCCCAACATGCAAAGTCCCTCTCGGGGGTTAAACAGAGCCACTTGAAGCAATGACCAGAAGGTCAAGAAAGGTTCCTATGCAAACCTACCTGGCCCAGGGACCATCAACCGTTCCGAATTCAGCTTATTCACCATATAGACAGCAGACATAGTAATCCTCTTATTTAAATGCATCTCTGCTATTCACTATGGCAGAAATCAGTCTCACTTCCCTCCCCATGACAACATACCAGGCCTCAACAGCCCGAGGCTGGAGTTCATTCACCAAGTTCCTCAGTCCACACTTGGGGGACACCAGGTATGGAATGCAGTGTTATTACCTATAGAATCTACCGGCCTCAAGTATGAATATAAATTCAGGTGCCATAACCACGAAGCCTGCACTTTTCACGGGAGCTGGCATTTCCTCTCACTACCCACCCTTCCCGTTCACTCAGTTCTAACCTGATACAGGGAAATTCCGCAGGTGGCCTGTCTCTCAAATGCTCACCCTCATGGAGTGCATTCCAGCCCAGGTGGGAATCTGCATCCCCACTGCTGTCATCTACAAAAAGAACTTAGAAGGGCCACTTGTTATTTGCACTGAATTCTTCTCGCTCGTGTGTGTTTAGAAGTCTGATGCATTTCACTGGCTATTTCTTTTGGCCTTTCCCAACAGGAATTCCAGCTTTCACAGCATTCCTGGCCTATGGGGTCATCTCTCTACGCCACCTCGTCACCTATATGCCAACATCAGGCCGAAAGAATGTACCTTGTAATAATACAAAATTTCAGGATGTTGCACACGGTGGGGGGGGGGGGGGCAACCAAAAGAAAATAACGACTCCAAAATGGGAAGAAACGAAGGAAATCACAGAGTTCAGTCAGACTGGGGCCACACAGCACCATGAAAATGCAGACTAATCAAAAGTCATTTCCTTTTGGCCCCTCCCACCTGTTGACAAGCAGCAGGAGTCCTGTTAAAATCTCCTTGATGGATGAGCTTGCAGACCCAGGCAAATTTTTTGTTAACACTGTATTCATTCCTTGAGCCCCTCCATTTGGAGAGCAAAGAGGTGTCCCAGAAGTTTTTGCAGTTTAGGACTGATAGCTACACAGTGCCTCTTTCCCGCCCCTCCCTCTGGCTTAAGTGTTTTAACACTATCTGTGTGCAGTAAACTTCAGTGATTTAAATCAACATCCTCCCTGTGGGGAACTGCAAGAGTGGCTTTGATCAGGCTCACGCTGCCTTTTAAGGAGACCCTGGCCCTGTGAAATTTCATTGTTACGTGCTTGACTCTGGCAGGTAGCAGCAAGGGTGGAGAGGATGTTATTGCACACAGAACCTAAGACTAATACATTTGCTCTGTTTCCATGTGACCACAAGTGTGAGGAGGTTCACATATTTGGGGTAGGATGAATTCAAGTGTTTGCCAACGTACTGTGGGCTGAGAAAGGAGGCACCAAAAATGAAGCAGAAAGACAGCAAGAACAATCCAAGAAACCTCATTCTCCCGCCAAACACAAAGCTAATTCCACTGCAAGCTAAGGTCTAAACTGAGGAGAGGAATCCTAAGGCAATTTAACACAAACATCTGCCAGGCACTGGGCTAGGTCTTTTCGCCTTGTTCTTGGGTCCTCCCTCCTTTGTCAATTTACCCAAGTCTAATGGGGCAGACCTCAGGGAAACCATAACGCAGACCATTCATCCGGCAGGAGAACAGTGTCCAGAAAGGGCCAGACTGCAGCTCAGAATCAGAACTGAGATGAACACACACACGGGTTCTCTGTCTGCCTCAACTTCCTTACCTTGTTCCAAGGATGCCCACCACTCTACCAGTGACCATTCGGAAGCTCCGCCACCACGGGCAACTTTTACGGCTTTCCTATTCAAAATAGAGTCAGTTCTGGACGAACACTCAACCTAGTGTGCTGTTAATTGATGCTTTACCCTAGGAGGTTCTTTAAACCAGCTTTAGAGGTGAGTCACGCATTCATATCACAAATGAAATAACCACTTGCAGAGCATTTGTTTATTCAGGATTACTGAGTTGCCAGCAAGGCTGCAAAAACCAGTTTGGTGTGGCATGCTGCGAGCCAGTCGCTCCCCAGAGCAGGCTGCTGACTGTTCCTGGGCCTTTGAAGCAGTTTCGTTCCGAGAACACATTACATTACTAAGAACTCTACTACCTGGAATAGGCTGGAGGAGATAACTGCAGAAATGAAATAAACAGAAAGATTAAGTGTGAAAGTGAGGCCAGTTTTCATGGTTGTTTTTTTTTTAAGTGAGTTCTGAGAAATGAGGAAAGAAAAGACAAGTAAGTCAAAATCCCACTGTGCTTAGCTTGTGGTGACCCCAGATTTCTTCTGCTTTCCCTTTTGGAAGCTCCTGTCAAAGGTGTGAAACCTACCAGGGAAGGGAGAGCCAAGAGTTTCCAAATGAGGAGTTAGTTTTCACTGCAGTTCCTCCAAAGCAGGGTTTCAATTTTATTATTAGCAATGTAAGAAGCCCCCAAACCACCGAAACACAGCGGCACCCTCCCCCCTGTGTGCCCTGGGCTGCGTTCAGCCCTGCACCTGAGAGGGGGCCAGGGCCAGGAAGGCGTCCCCGCAGCAAAGCGGCCATTAGCTTTGCGAACACTGAACTGTGTAGGGTTATTAATTATTTGAGCCAAGAGTATTATACACTCTTAAGTACACAAGACAGCCATTATGCACTCAGATATATGACACAGAAACACAACTTTTGTTAGCCCTGACAATAGGGTCGGCCTGTCTGATTAACTCTGAAAAGCTGCTGTTGGAGCTGCTGACGTGGCTCAGTGTGTCCACACATCAGACAAACTTACACAACACAGGTGCAACCTTTGACAGGGACAGACCTGCATTTCCTTCTAAAGCTAAGCAACTTGAGAGAAAAAAATAACCTAATACATAATTTTGGAGAGAATAAACTAAAAATAAACTTGAACATTCAATTTTTTAAAACTATACTTCATTCCAGAAAGGGCTTGTGGAAGCTAAATTTGAACATCGACAACTATCTGCTGTGGTGACACCCACATGAAGTTCAAGTTTATTAAGTGGCAGTTCAGCATGATGCTCAAGTGCTTATGCTCTGGAGCCAAGCTGGCTGGGTGGCTTTCTTGACCAATTCTTCAGCCTACCAGCTCTATGACCTTGGGCAACTTAACCTCTGTGTTTCCATCCATAAAATGCTCTAGTAATAATATCTCACAAGGCTGTTGTGAGATATTATTATGTGAAACGACCCATGTAAACACACAGCCCAACTCCAGACACACAGTGAGGGCTCCCTAAACACTAGTTGGCATTATTAATGCAGGCCAGGGGTTCTCAACCTGGTGTATGTTGGAATCACTGGAAAACTTTCTCCAAATGCCAATTCCTGGGCCCCGCCCAGGCCGAACGAAACCAAGTCTGTGGGCTGGGCAGTTATTGCAAAGCTTTCAGAGATTTTAAAGCTCAGGTAAAGGCTGAGAACCACTGGCCCATGCTACGTCATAGTGGGGGACAGGGTGCTCTTGTGGTCAACACAAAAGTTCTGGGGCGCAAGTCGTCTCATCTCCATAGTTTGTGTAGTACTTCTGCAGGATAAGCTGTACGGGCCATGCCTCACTCCACCTGCACATTTACCCGGCTCGTTTAATTACACGCGTACTTACAGCCAAACTGACTTCTTACCCCTCCTCACCTTCTTTGGGACGCACTGCATTTACGAAGGCAGATGCTTCCAGGTGCTGACGAACGCGGTGGGTATCAGCGAGTATGGGACTGTGGTTATGCTGTTCCACGCATCTAACGTTGGGTCGTAGCAGTCCAGAGTTTTGCACCGCTGAATGCCGAAGTAGCCTCCCACCACGTAGAGCTTGTTTCCGGAGGCCACAGCATGACAGCTCATGCGCTTGGCCGTCACGTCTCCCACCTTGGTCCACTGGTACGTCTCACTGTTGAACTTGTAAGCGGAGCAGGCGGAGAACTCGGTGTCTCCCCCCATAATAAAAATCTGGTTACCCAGCACCGCTGCTGCTGTGTAACGCCAGGGCTGGGGACAGGTGGCCGGTACCGTCCACCTGTTTTCACATTGATCGTAACACTGAACCTTGGGGAGCTTGTCATGACTGACACTGGTACCTCCGAAAGCAAACAGCTTAAGTTTGGCGCTCACCACTGCAGCATTGCTCACGCCTTCTCGCAGTGGGGCCACCATGGTCCATTTGTTGGTTGTGGGGTCATAATGTTCTACTTGCTTTAGAGAGACTGATGGGGAGGCTGGGAGGCAGCCGGTTGCGGCCGTGTGCCCCCCGACCACATACAGGCAGTGCTTCAGTTCAGCCGAGCCATGGCCGAACCTGGCCACCAGCATGGGGGCGGCTTTGGACCACTCCTCATGCAGGGTATCATAAACCCAGACATCTTTGGAGACTCCGTTTTCAGAGCCCCGGCCCCCAGTAATGTACACTTTGCAGCCAATGGCACATGCACTGAACTCTTTTCTTGGGCTGGGGATGTCGGCCTTGGGAATGATTTCTTTGGCCTTCTGGTCTACCAGATACAGTTTGTCACACATGAAAGTCTGCCCTCCCAAGAGGAAGAGGGCGTGGCCCGTTTTCCGAGGCCGGGCACAGAGACTGGTTACCACACCATCATTCTGCAGGATTTTCAGCTTGCACCTGATGGCCTCTTCCACAATCTCCTTGCTCTTCCTCTGCTTGGTGATGAGTTCCTCCATGGCCACATTCTCCATGAGATAGATGGCTGGCAGGAGAGCCAGCCTCACCGTCTGCAACAGCTCTGGGAGGTAGCAGTAGCGCTTCTTCAGGTCGTAGCTGATCCAGTTAATTGCAGACTCGTACACGAGCCTTTCATCTTCTGTCTCCAGCTCTTCGCTGGACAAGAGCTGCACTACCATGTCCTGGGGCAGCTGGAGGAAATCTTCGTTCTTCCTGATGGTCTGGAAATTGCTGAGACACATCCTCCAGGAGAGTTCGTACAGCTTGGTGCACTGGTGCGCATCGGACAGCAGCAGCATGCCCAGGCAGTTGGTGGGGTGCAGGTTCTTTTCCAGGAATTCTGCACAGGCATCCCGGATGTCCTGAAACTCCAGCATGTCGCCGGCTTCCAGGAGCGATTCTGCGTTTTCTTCATTGATGATGACCCGGGAGGAGTACGCATAGTCAAGAAGCAGCTCCAAGACTTCGGGGTGGATGGAGTTGTCGAAGTTGACCTCACTGTCCTGGCTCTCTTTCAGGCCACCGCTGAACATGGCTTCAAAGTAGCGGCTGCAGGCAGCCAGCACTGCCCGGTGACAAGGGAAGGTCCTGTTCCCGGCATGGAGAAGGACGTCGGTGAAGAGGCGCTGCTGGCGTAGAAGGTTCAGGTGAGTGAGGACACTGTCGGCATAGGAAGACTTGTGGAACAGGTAGATGTTAATAGAGCCGCTGCTGGCCCTGGACTTGCGGTTCTCATGCACACTGACTGACATTTTGTTTCCACTCCTAAAACAAAAACAAAACACACAAAAAAACAAACAAAAAACACCATTGAGCAGGGTGCTACTGATGTGTGAGCCAGCAGAACAAAGCAGCCATCCTCTAGGACAGAGAAAACAGAACACTTTTTCTGTTAGTTCTGCTGCCTACTGTTCCAAGTAATGGACAGCCGTTCCTGTACAAAGTCAGAGACATCCACCTACAAGGAGAGGCATTCACGATCATACTGTTCGAGCTATTTGACCTATACACTGTTTAGAAAAGAAATTGCTGCTTGAAAGCAGGTTCATCTTGGGAAACCTGACGGCCAACTTTCCACATCCTGAAGTCCTTGAGAATGTGTGTCAGCACAAGCCAGGAGGAGCGAGACGTCACTCTCACAGCTCCCTGTGCTTGTCCAGCTGATTCGCTGCGGGCCACTGAGGATGCCAGGCCTCCAGCTCTCGTAACGCCAGGGCAGGCACCAGCTTTAATGCCCTGTGCAACATAAAGCCGCGTGTAAAACAAATACCTACTAATTAATTCCATTAAGAATTCCTTTGGTAAGATCTGGTCTCCCCACAATATATAACAAATGGGAAATGTAACATTAAAATCACAGGCTTGGGCAACTTCTCCAATGACAGGAACCTTATTTAAATGTTACAGATCATTTGTGCCCGGACAGCTCTACCACGACAGAGTGCTAGAAGAGACCAATAGAAGCATTCCTCTGTTGACCAGCAGGCTTAGGTGAAAACACAGAATAGATCCTGACCACCACCCATCTTTCCTGCTGGACGGACCCCAAAACGAGGACCTGGGCACTCAAAAGAAAGACTGTTCGGAGTGGCATGCTCACGACTGCTGTTTTTCTGTTCTTCCTACTTTTACCAATTCTTGGAAAACCAGTTGCAAGAACAAAGAATCTATCCGCCCCTCTCTTTTGATTAGCTACCACATCACAAGGACCGTTCTTATGTCCCCGCTAACGCTGGCCTGCATACATGGAGTTCAAGATGCAAACGTCACTACATCTAAACAAAAACACACACATGTGTGTGTATGTATACATGTGTGCGTGTATTTTGCTAGTCATCGTTAATTTAGGGCCATCCTAGAATCCATTTGCTGACCAAAGTGGTTTTTTTCCTAAGTATCTAAACTGACACTGAATCTAATGCTACCTTTGGCTTTCCTCAGTAAGTAAATTATAGCCTAAAGACATAGGAAATCCCTACCATGTATCTTCAAAAATTGAAAAACATGCAAAAAAAAGAAATAAAAGGAAAAAAAAACCTACCTCTCTTTTACTTCAAAGGAATAAAGTCTTCAAGCACCTGCCTATCAGAGGATTCCTAAGGAAGCTGCTTATCCCAGAAGAGAAAACTGGGCCGATACAGTATCCATTCCAAACCCAGAACAGTCCTCCTGCACAGCACAGCTGAAACAGATGGCCTGCTTGTTTCCTTCGGACATTCGGATATTTATTTTTCGTTTATATCGCAGGAATTGTTAATAGATGGAAATGAGTAACTTAGCACAGGTTCATGGGCTAGATACTAGATGGCACTTCCCGTACCCACTGTGGCACAGAAAAGAAAAGCAGGCACCTACCTTGCCTTTAACACACAGGCTACATCCCACTAGGTGATGCAACTCCTTTTCCTTTAGTTTGGAATGTAACTTTTCCTTATGTGTAAACAGGAGTTAGTGGAACAAAACAAGCAACAACGTCCCAGGCTCTGGTGTTACAAAGACTTTACAAACATCCATTAGTCTCTTAAAATAGTGAGGAGCCAAGCCTCACTCCTTCCCCCCCCCTTAAGCTAAACCTCCACAAATCTAGTCCTTTTCTTTTTCTTTTTTGTAATCAGCGCTCAATGCTATGAAGAACAACAGGTATGATCCTATGTGAACACACTAGGTTTCCAATGTGTTAAAACCTATATTAGCATCACTGATACTATAGTTGTCCTTTGAATTAGTAGATTCCATCTGAAGCACTTGAAGGAAGACTTTAAGCCTGAACCTCAAAAGACAGCTTAAATACTTACAAAAAATTCAAATAAGTAGCTACACCTTTTTTTTTTAAAGCTTATGTTTCCAAAGCAACCTCAAAAGCTGCCTCTTTTCAGGCCAAGAGCAAACGCAGCTCTTGCTTTAGAATGAGGGACCCGCACAAGGTGCACACACACCACTATAAGCACAGAGCAGGAATCCCAGGAGCCCAGAAACCCAGTGTCCCTGAGCACTAGATACGTGGTGGTGCCAAACGCCACTCACACCCAGACCTATACTTAGGAAAACTTGAAGACCTTAGGATCTAGGGCCTGCAGCTCCATGCATCCTGCACTGATGTGCCTGTACTTTCCAGGGTGGACACAGCCAACAGGAAGAACCCAGCCTGTCCTCTTGGATGGCATCCAGATGGAGAAGCATGTCACAGTCAGAAGTCAACATTCTCGCAGCAGTATTTGATGAAAATAAAAGGTGTACTGGACGACCCATGGGAAAAGTTGCTTTCTGGTTTAGAGTTATGCAAACATCAAAATATCAGCAGGAATCATTTCTATAGTCACTAAGCACACCTTCGACATAAAATGAATCATCCTTCTGGCATTTTTTAAGCCCCCAGAGGAATAGCTGCATGCCAAGTAAGTGTCCAAAAAATGCACACATATACTTAACCTGCATCTACACAGAAGATGAGAAAAGGGCTGCTATTACCCTGAACATCAAAAAGGCTTCTACTTACAGTAACTTCAGTTCCCTTTAAAGCTCCTTACCCAGGCTCTCTGCCTCCAACTCTGAGTCCCAGTCACATCTCTTCAGGTTTTTCACCGGATCTCAATGAAATCAAAGGAGAAACTAAGCAGATTTTCTGGGGCATTCTGCGCCATTGGTAACAATGGAACAACACTATAAAGATCTTGTTAACAAGAAAGGCAATTCACCATGCAGTCCCCTAAAACGCTTGAAGCGCTCAACACACTGGCCGAGCCTTTCGGGGCGACACCAAATTACAAGCTGAACAAGCTCAATGGTTCATCTGCACCCTGCCCAGCAATTCTTGTCCTTCGGAATTAATGTTACACGAAAGGCCCAGTAGTGTACTTGCATGAGAAGAAACTAATTTTTCTGAAAAAAAAAAAAAAAATCCGGTTTTCATTCATTTCCTACAGACGTTCCGTAAGGGCGAACGCGCCCTCACGAGGGATGTCCGCGCGTGTTCACTGTGCCTAGTGGGGCCAAACGAAGGCCAACAAACCCGCGTCGGCCCTGGAGACTGCTAAGTACGAGGCAGCGGGAAACCCACCCCCCAGGGAAGCAGTGCTTTCCGCGGAAGGAGGAGAGTCATCACACCCTGGCCCTGTTCCTCGATCCCCCAACAGCTCGCCCAGGGGCTGCTCGGGCGAGAGGGGGCCCCTCCCGCGATGCCCGGCTCCTGGCTTTCCGTGGAAGGCAGCGAACACTGAGGTCTCCGCCCCAACAACTGCTCTCCATCTCCGCCTAAGTCGCAGCTCCGCAGTCCCGGGAGCATGCAGACTCCCTGGTGAACACACCCCTGCAGGCCAACGTGCCCTGAAACCCGCGGCGCCCGCAACAGGTAGGGGCAGTGGGGGAAACTTACAGCAGTGGCGACTGGCCTCAGTGCACAGCTAGCTGTGTTCTTGCCTGGGTCACCCGGCCGGGAGGCGACGAAGCGGACGTCTCAGTCCTTGGGAGCCGTAGCGACTGCCCGGGCGAAAGGGGTGCGCATGAGGCGCAGGCCGTGGAGAGGAGAGGACCGTGCCCAGGGCGCTGGCTCCGGCCGGCTACAGCTGGCGGTTCGCCTTAGCCTCACGAGCTGCACACCGCAGACTCTGTCCGCTACCGGTGGAGAGTCTCGGGGAGCGAGTCTCGGGAGGAGACAGCGAGCCTGCGGCTACAGGCGCCGCGGAAGGAGGCGGGCTGGAAGTACAGCCGGGGGAGGGAGATAGAAAGCGCTCTGCGCCGGCGGCCGCCTGGCGTCTGGACTGGGTCTCCGCACCGCCACCGCCGCGCTGCCTCTCTGGCTGCTGGAGCAGTCTGCGCCCGGCCGCGGTGCGCCGGGCTATAAGTGGGGCGGTGCGACTGGGAGGGGAGGGGAGGAGGGGAGGGGAGAGGGTGCGTTCGCCGAGAGTGACACCAGGAGAGGGAGGGAGGGAGCGCTAGGGGGCCGCCCGCTGAGGAGGAGAGAGCTGGAGAAGAGCGTTTGTTGGGGGGAGTTATTAGAGAGAGGAAGCGGGGGAGGGGGCCTTGGAGAGTGGAGACAAAGCGGACACGCTATCTCTGCCATAAGCGAGCAGCTGCAGCCCTTGGGGACCGTGAGCGAAACAAGTTTTCCCAGGTCGGAGTGTCTGAACTGCTCTGGCCCAGCCAGTTTAATGGATAGCCCCGGAGCCGACCGCGCTAGGCAGGGGAGTGCAGCCCTGAGCTGTGCGCCTCGCACTGCTTGAGCCCGGTAGATGCTTAAGAAGGGGCGGCCAGGAGCTTGCTCGGGACAGCCCGCTCGCTAGGTGGGACACCTGGAGGGGAGGACAGTGTGGAGAAGAGGGGCCCAAGTTTGGACACTCCGGGGACACTGCAGGTTGGGCAAAGCCGGGCGATAGAATTTCTCGTTGGCAGGAGGGACACAGACCCAAACCCCAGGCGCTCCCCCTTGGCCAGCCTCCCCAGCCCTAGTGGGTGCGGCGGCCACCTCCAGACCCTGCGCAGCGCCCGCCGGAGCCGGAGGCGCAGCGCCGCCGGGAGCCGCGGCCGGGCTCAGGCCGCCGGGCGCGCCCACGTGCTTCGCAGCCAATCGCCGGGGCCGCTTGATTCAAAGCGAACTGCTCAAAGGAGCCGCTACACCGCCCCCTCCCGCCCGCGATAAAGCCTCAATCACCCACTCAGAATGGACCCTTCCCGTCTTTTATCGCTCAGTTGTGCTAGTTTAGAGTTCGGCAAAGAAACGGCCCGGCGCGCACAGGTCTGAAGCGCCCCGTGCCGGGGGGAAAAAGAAGGCGATTCGAAAATAACCAGGCAGTTCGATCACCGGTTATGAAACCCATTCTCGAGCTTTGTACTTAACACTGGGAGCAAAAACGTCTGTTGTTTTTTGGTTGGTTGGTTGGTTTGGTTTGGTTAGGATTTGGAATTAAATCCATGAACGAACTGTAGAGATTACAGTCCAGCCCGCTCGTTTTACAAGTCAGGAAACCGAGGCCCAGGTGCCTGAATTGCCCGACTCCAGGTAACACAGCCAGGTCCCCGCGCCCCTGGCCCCCAGCTTTCTTTCGGGCGCTGGTCGCAGCGATGATTCGTACCGGCCGAGGAGGCCCTGCCTGGCGCTCCCAGAGTCCGGAGACTGCTGAAGCCTAACTGCGGCTCACTTTTCTTCACCCGCGGTTCCTCCTGGTATTCGCGCTGAGAAATCTCGCTCCTCGCAAACAAAGAAAGACAGTGCCCTCTGAAGTCCTTTGTTAGCATTAAGTCGTCAGCCTCACCACGAGCTTTTACCAATCTGTTTCATATTTTAAATTCCTATGCAGAGTCTCAGCTCCACGCTGCTTCACGAAGCCAGAGGCGGCCGGGTCGGTTCACCGTAAGAACCACGTGGAGACTGTAGAGCGCCGGAGCAGCCCCCTGTTCCCGAAGGGACCGTGGGTACAGTCCGGGGAGACCAAAAGAATAGAAACGCGGTGGCCACCAGAGATAGGTGCTGAAAAAATGGGAGGTGGGCATGTGTAGCTATTGCTCGTGTCATTTAAAAGGGCGCCTCTGCAGCCCGTCACAAGGTTTCGGGGAGACCGATGGGGGGGAGCCTCCGGCCGCCCAGTAAAAGTACTTTGTCTGTCTAGGGGGCAGGTCAAAAGCAAGCAGGCGGGTCTTGAAGACCAAATGTTAATGTCCTCCTTTGGGAGGGAATATTCTGTTTCATTTAAGAGATTAACACTTCCTCTCAGGAAGAAGTATTTCCTTCTACCACTGTCACTTAGTCAAGTTTACCTAGAACCTCACCTAGACGACCCTGCCCAGCCCGACACCTGCACACAGCTCAGTTGTCGGGTGTGGGTTTGGTCAGAGGAGGCCGCGGAGCGGGTCTGTGTCGGGTCTTCACCACCTGGAAACCGCAGTGTCCTTAACCAAGGGCACGGCCACGTTTTCTTCCCCTCGAAAATAGCTATGCCGAGAGGGAGGGGCGCGCCGGGGCCATTTTCCCGCCTCGGCTCTACCTCATGCAGCCCCTTTCCGCGCTTCCAGAGAAGAGAAGGGGGAATGCCGTGGCCTGGAAAACCTTGAAATGCATTCAGTGGCCATATGTATACATTTGCTTCATCTGCCTCACGGAGACAGTCCACACGAGGCAGGGAAAAGAAATTGGCTCTATCAATGGGTTACAAAACTGGAAGACATTTTTCTGCTGAAAGACACAGTAACTAAACTCGCTTGGGGGGGGGACTGTGTGTGCTGCAGGGGAGCTCCCCCAAACCGCACACCGCACACCGGTTTGCTGGAACCCACGTGCGGCAAGTTCTCAGCCTGTGTGCAGGGTCTAATGTTTATTTCACAGCTGAAAGTGATTTGCAATTTAGCATATTTATGATCACAACACAAACCGTGTTATTTTCCAACATTTCGCAGCCGGTTCTAAAGGTAATTCTTGTCATTTCACCCCAAGGAAGAAAAAAATAGCAAGACTTCTGTCTTTGCAGGAAAAACCCTCTGGACAGGCCTGCGATCACACTGGACGGCCATCGACATAGCCCATATCTGAGTCGCAGGCGACTCAGGAAGCCCCGCAGACGCCCGTGTCATTCAGTGGCCACCACCTCACTCAAGATGTCAGGCTGGTCCTGCCAGCTCCTGGGAGCTGGTCTTCAGCTCTGCCTTGTGACACCAAACCAAGGTCTCATTTTTAATGCTATTAAGAAGCTGTGCTCATGGCTTTGGCCTTGTTATCTGTCTTAACAGCGTTACTTTGTTAGGCTGCAAAATAAGCAGCATGGGGTTAAATGTATTAGCTGCCTTCAAACCTAATTTATCTTCATTCCTTCCTAATTTACACTCGGGCTGAATTAATGAGAATGATTTAATTAACATGGTGCGACCATGGTACCAGGGACAGACTGTGGGCTAAGCAGCTGCCACCCTGCCTCCCAGGTCCCCTGCAGCCCCCCCGCGTTTCAGACGTGTACCCACCAGTCCTCCAGAAGGGTCTCTTTGTCTTTGATCCACGTCCTGGGTCTGTGCGAAGAGGACGCGCAGCCTTCCTTCCTTGTGTTATTTGTGAGATGAGCTTCAAGGCTGTGGCCTTGCAGTCAGGGCGGCAGAGGGGGCCGGCGGCCACCAGAGATGGGTGTTCTCCCTCCCTGGTGGTGGGGTTCGTGCTGGGAAGTGACACCCGGCCAGAGGCGACGACCCCCTGGCTTCACTCTGTGCTGGGATCGGCAGCTGTGGGAGGAAAGGAAGGGAAGCAGGACAGGCAGAGGGAGGCGCTAAGCTGGAACCAGCCTCAGCTGAGTGGGGAGCGCCCTGCGGATTGATCCCGGCGAAGGCGAGGCCAGGTTTCTGGGGTGGCGTTTTCCCAGTGTCCGAGGGCAGGCTGCCCAGGAAAGGGGCAGGGACTCGGTCAAGGCAGCCTGCTTCCAGGGGCAGTTCTGAAGGTGGGCAGCTTTGCCTCCTGCTGGCACCCCCCAAAGCTGGGGGGAAGAAGCCCTTGGTTCTGGCAGGAACACAGAAGTGGGGGGGTCAGTGAGGTGCCCACTTCAACACCCTGCCCTCACAGAGATGCACGAACCCGGGAAAGTGAGACCCCAGCTGCTTATCGGCCTCCCCCTTTCAAAAAGAGGGACGTGTACATACGGATTTTAAAGAGAAGGATAAGGAAAGAGGTCATCGATACAAAGCTACCAGCATTGGATACGTTACTTATTTTGTTTCTGAGGTGAACAAAGAGCTTAACTGATAGTCAGTTTTCTAAATTTTAGTTTGCCACCTTTTGCATTTATGCCTTTTTAACTGACCTTGTATTAAATATGTTACCATAAACCTTGAGAGTATTCTTTAAAAAAAGATTTTTATTTATTTTTAGAGAGAGGGGGGGAAGGAAGGGAGAAAGACAGGGAGGGAAACATCAATGTGTGGTTGTCTCTCATGTGTTCCCTACTGGGGGACCCGCCTGCAACCCAGACATGTGCCCTGACTGGGAATCGAACCAGTGACCCTTTGGTTCCCAGGCCCCCGCTCAATCCACTGACCTACACCAGCCTGGGTGAGAGCATTCTTAAAATTGTATCCAAATCGGCTTGGTCAGATTTAAATTTTTCAGTTGCTTCCTACATTCATTACATGTATGTTATGAATTAAATTGGATGATGGTATGACTTTTACATTTCAAATTTCAATTTTTCACTGCTGAAATAGTATACAGTGGATTTTTCCATTATGACTTTTAATGGCATGTGCCCTGCGTAAAGTGTATTTGTGCCCTTCCATTGCTAAGCTCCTCCATTCAGGGCTGTCAGAGCGGGGTACATTCATTCTTCCTGTGAGACTCTGACGCCTCGTCCAGCCCCGAGCCACAAGCGGCACTGCAGAGGGACACACTGTCACTTTTCCTTGGTGACTATTTATAAAATTTGGCCATTAGTAAATCAAAATGTCTAGGCTGCTCATGTCATTTCCCCCCTCAGAGCCCCTGGGGACAATGACCTTCCCAGACTGTTGAAAGTCACGGATTTTAGAGTCAGGACTTTAAAGCAGGCCTTGACCATGTTCTTGCTGATTACAGAAGTGATACATGGTGCAAATTTGGGAGACACAAAAATGTAAAAGAAAAAATTAACCGTAGCCCACCACTTGGAGAAAAGGACATTAGCCTTTAAATTCTAGTCTTTCTGTGTATACGCAGTGTTTTTATTTTTAGCATTTAAGTGCTTAAGGGCAGAGTCTCTAGAACCAAGCCTGAATTTCCGCTTATACCTTTACTGGCAGGGTGTTTGGGGGCAGGGACTGCAGTATCTTGGAGCCTTAGTTCCCCAGTTTGTAGT